AAAGATAACAAGACTTGACAAGACTTGAAAGAAAACATTGCAGATGTGGTTTAGGTTCTGTTCCCTATCCTCCTTCTGCTGCAGTCCACCCTCTTCCCTTCTGGCAGGGATTACACTTCCTTAATAGCACCCCTCTCCTTGGCAGTGCCACAGACAGCAGGCACAGGCAAGCTCTCCTCCCTCCCCAAACCCTGCTCAACCCATCACCTGCACCTCGGACATTTATATCAAATACTACCCATTTCTTTCTTAGCAGCAGCTTCTGGTAAAAGCTCACACACACTAGGAATGAAGATAATTAAGACAAGTAAAAAAATGTTAAAGATGGATCATGTTTATTCTCACTTGTGAGCCTTCACATGTACAGCAGCATCCTCCATCCAGGCACTACCATGGGGCAGGTGAATAATAACCACAAAAGTAAGCACGGAAAAATGTCTATTTCCATAAGATGTGTCCATGGGCACAGTGATTTATAAGGCAACAGACCCCACAAGAAATCCCTGGGTGGAGAATACCAGTGGTGTCATCAAGCCTGAGCATTGATCTCAAAGCACGGGGCTCTACTGACAACTAGAAAAGGCTGGTACCAGAGCCATCGGCCCACCACACCTCCCGCAAACACCACCACGCTGTTAAATGCACTTAGGGCACCCAGGACAGGGGAATGCCAAAACCAAATTGCAGAAGGAGGAGTGAGATTTTTAATATGAATTTGTGTAAGAATAAACAGAAAAGCCTGATCTCACTGGGCCTTACGACAGGCTAAAAGCTCACAGTGCTTCCTCATTTAATAAAACCAAGAAAGGGAAGCATTCAGAAATAAATACCAAGGACTTGTACGTCCTCAGCAGTTTCTGAAGTGGTTTTGGTGGTAGCGATGTTCTTGAGCACAGCCACAGTCCCGGGCTGACAAGTGCGTAAATGACACCCACACTAGGAGCGGTGATGGCTAAGGGGAAATTTCTCTAGAGACACCCGAATAAAGCTGACGCTGTACTACTCTGCATGCCTCCCCTGCCAAGAATAAAACAGGTCTGCAGCACTGAAGCTAACAAAGCTTGGCCTCTGGCGAGCCAGTCTCTCTTCATCAGAGGCAAACGTGTGATGCCCTCAGAGGGGCCTCTCCTCCCTCTTGTCACTTAGTTTTATGGGACCTTCAGGAATGCAATTAGCGCCGAGATGTTTCCTCCTTTGTCAAACTGCCTGGCAGGCAGCCAAGGGGTTCAAAAGCTGCTGGGCTGTGCAGCCAGTCGCCCCTTCCTCAGCCCAGCTGCAGGCAGGAGGGAGGGCAGGCTGCAGGCAGGAGGGCTCTGTTCCCCGCTCCTGCAGCCACCCACATTTCAGAGTAGAGACCAAAATGATGTACTAATGGGCTCAATGCAAGAGGGCAGCTTCTCTGAGTGGAGAAAAATGGGGAGCAAAGCATTCAGGGGTTAGGAAGCGACTGCCTGCTTTGTTGGAGCATGATGCCATGGATAGCCCAATCGCATCTCCTCTGGAGGAACAGAGCACTTCTGCAAGCCACCCCCAATGGCCCTTCCAGGAGCTGGATTAATGGTTTGACACAGCTGCTCTGGAGCTGTTAACTCGACTTGGGGAGCAGGAGAATAAAGGCCACTTATCAGTGACTAAATGGCTTTGAGAAAGAGTTAGATGCAACTTGAATCAACATTTACAATGTGTTATAAACGGCTCCTTTTCCTGCCCCTCTCACAGATGCAGGAGGCATGTTAAATCTCCCACCAGCACGAATTAAATTCTCGCTTCTCCTTTAGATTATCTCCCACTTGAAATCTCTTTCTCCACTTCTACAAAAGGAGAGGAGCTGTACACAGCACTGCCTCTCCTCTCAAACGCTGACAACATAAGGTGCCAATATTTTTAAATGGATCCAGGAATGAAAATGCTTTTGCTGGCCAAAGGACTGAATACCAAGAGACAAGAAGCTCAAAGCTCATTTCAGACTATTTCAACCCCACTGTGGCTTTCCCTGGGAATATGGGATGCCCGAGCACAAGCTGCTGCCCAGCCCTGTGCCATGGCAGTGACTCGGTGGGGACAGCTTCTCTCTGAATTGTCAAAGGAAGAAACATCCAGGCTGGTTGGTGACGGGCTCACAGTGCCTCTGAGCTGAGACATGCAAAAAGCATGGACATTTATGTGCATTTTGCATGTGTGGATTTTTTACTTCTCAGCTTGGAAAACCATGCTTTCCTCCTTGTGCACCCCCAAGCCGTGGGTAGGGCTGGACTGGCTGCTTTCCCACCTGCTCTGTCCAGGATGGGCACTCAGAGGCTCATGATACCACCTTGTTCAACAGTTTGGGCAGGCATAAACGCATTTAATGGGTGACACCAGAGCCTGTGTGTTAAAAATGAGGTTGGGTTCCTTTGGAGTGAAAACACTGTTCAAGATAGTCATCAGACATGCACTGAGAGGCATTAAGTGCCTTCTGCACTACTAGAAGATTCATACAGCCCTTGGTAACAGTGATGAGTTCCCCTCATGGATCTGAGCCAACCAACTCCCAAACAAGTACGGACACAAAAATAATGTCCCTGCTCTACTGCAGGGGGGCTGGACTAGATGACCTTTAAAGGTCCCTTCCAGCCCAACACATTCTATGATTCTATGAAGATGACAGCTCGTTCCATGTTGCTTTTTTTGGTTTCTGCATTTGCTAAAACTTGTTCTTCCTTCATTGTGGGATTCAGCCTGTGAGAGTGGTGGGCACCACAATGCTGGGGCCTTTCAGGGACAAACAAGGTGCCCAGGAGAAGGCAGAGGGAGGGCAGGGTGTCATTTCTTCCCCTTGCAGGAGGAAAAGCAGCATAACCGCTCCGGGAGACATCCTGCACCCGAGATGTGACACAAACTTCCCTGGCTGCCAAACCTACATGTTCTGGTGGACTGAGATGTTCAGTACTGAGCTAAACACTGGTCTTTTTCAAGAAGGCCCCATTTTATTTGTAGGGAGGAGAGAGCGTGCATCTGCTGGAAGCCACCAGAGATGCTTGTGCAGCAGAGGGCTGTTTGACAGGGGCAGCTTTGGGCACAGCCCCACTGTGCAAGCTCAGACACTTTTGGTGGGCTGGAGAAGCCCCAAGCCTCTTGGTCTGACAAAACCACTTCAAAATGTGATGTCAATGGCATGGTGCTTGCTACAGCTCAGATTTAGCATCATAACTGCTGGAATTTAAAATCAAGCGAACAAAAAAAAGCCAAGAAACCAACAGTAATAGAAATACCAGGAGGCACAAGGGGAGCCAGCCCATCCCACGCAGCCGTGCCAGACTCCATCCCACCCCTGGAGCAGAGGCCATTCGGCCTCAGCCTGCCCTTTGTTTTTGTTCATAGCTGTAAAAGTTACTTTTAAACGACTTGTAAAAAACTCCGGCAAATCCCAAACCAACTACGCTGCTCTTTCCAGCACCACAAGCCCTCCCCAGGGAGAGAAGAAAGCAGGTGCACCGGATGACACACAACTTGCTTTCCTGTGAAGCGGGAGAGCCCTGGCTCTCCTGATGAAAAGGAAATTCGAGCAAAAGGGTGTCTTTCTCTTACAACACCAACCACTACACCAGTAACTCCCAAGCTCTCTTTATAACGTTGCTGCCCTGTTTGCTATTAAATACATGCTCCTTTTGGGTGGTTGGATGCTCTCAAAGCAATATGGTCATATGGAGAGCCCCCAGGCAATACTGCTCTTAATTACTTCACAGCTAAGTTAATTTTTTCCCTCCCAAGTTAATTTTTTCAGATACTTCTTTCCTGCTTGACACCCCTCTTTCCGCTCCTGCATCAGCAGGGAAAGCCGCAGCCCTCCCAGCCTGGTGCAGTCCGTGTGGGAAGTGGTACTGGTCATTTTCACTGCTCTGCAACCAGGAGCCCTAGGGCAATTCCAAAAACCGGGGTATGGCCTGCCCCATCTACAGCAGCGCAGGCCATCAGGCTACGGGAAAACATCCTCTACCCACCTAACACCACAGCTGTCTCAAACAGCCAGAAACTGGCAAACACAAGGTGCTCCATCACTTACTTGCCCAGCTCAGAAACACGGACTGCAGGAGAGACATCGGGGAAAAAACCCACAGTGTCCCTGGAGAAAACATGGAAAAGTAACTATTTTTCGAAGCTTACACTTGTTTTCGAAATTTTGTCCAAGATTTTCAGTTAAGGAAATATTTTATTTGCCTGAAAGCAGGCAAATTTTAAAGAATAACCTTTTGCCAAGCTCCAGCTGATGAAATTATGTTCAAAGGCTAATCCAGGCAATTATGTGCAAGGTACATTACGTGACTTTGGGCTGACACGGAATTAAAGCCATTTTAGCAAACTGCTAAGTAACTCCTCTACCTTTGCTCAAGAAAAGCCACTGGCTAGATCTTTCCCAGTGAACAAACCATTTTCCCAGTGGGCAGAAAAATCTATATGTAAAATGCCTTCAGGATTTTCTAATAAGTAACAGACTGAAACACAACCTTTCCATGCACTGCACCAGGGGATTAATTCAAATGCTTTGTCTTTGAAAAAAAGATTATTTCTGCCTACGCAGGGAAGGATGGCACACACAGAAGAAATCCAATCTAAGAAGATGCCGAAAACTTCAGAAGATTCAAGCCTGTGCTGGTTTACTCTTTCCTAGGGATACACTTCAATGTGCAAGAGATGTGCACGGTTATGTCAAAACAAGAACACTGAGGCCAAGACTCTGCTCATCTCCATGGGACCGAGGCAGAGGAGAAGCCTGTGAGGAGAAAGCTTCTCACTCTGATGTTGGAAATTTGGTCCTGATGGGGAGAACACAGTTTTTGTTCATTAGCGTGAATGCACTTCAACCTTTCCTTCCTTTTTTTCCGTAAGGAGAAGAAAGGGAGTGCAGACCCCTCTAAAAATCAAGCAGATTCTAGCAGGTACAGCAGGCGCATCCTGCAGGAACTTTCCCCAATTTTGGGGCGGTTTCCCCATACCCGCAAAGCTGAGGAGAGGGCTCCTACCTGAGCAGAGGACTCCCTTGTACCTGGCGCAGGAGAAGTCGTCGCATTCGCAGAAGGGCCCGTAGATGTTGCCGAATTCGCTCTCGTGGCAGAGGCACTGGTTGCAGCTGCACTCCCCTCTCCCGCTGCAGAGGGGTTTGCCCTCTGCCTCCCGGCACATGGCTTGGTGCATGTCCCCGCTGGCACCCTCCTCACACTCGCACTTGGCCCCCAGGTAGCCGGCGTCGCACTCGCAGAGCCCGCAGGTGTACGTCCCGTTGCCGCTGCACTTGCCGCTGGCTGGGGCAGCTCGGCTGGTG